TTATGCAACAGACACTAAGTCCATAGTCGCCAGAGTTTATACAGTAAGCACTAAGTCCATAGTCACCAGGGTTTAGGCACTAAGTCCATAGTCGACATGGTTTATACAATTAGCACTAAGTCCATAGACGCTAATGTTTACTTATATACTCTTTCATCTACCCATGTTTTATCCAACATATTCGTAGATATAAAATACATATACAATTTAAATCACTTAAAACATGTATAAAATTGTTCATCCAACATAGATCTCAAATAAACAGATAATAAGCACACATAGCACGTAGTTTCTATAAAATACTTAATATCTATGTGTAAGATGAAAGTAACCTTGTGACTTTCCCTGATCCAAGTGTGAGTCATGTGCTTCCGGTAGTATAGGCCTCTACTACCTTTCACACCTACTCATACTCGTCCCAAGTATTGTCTCGCAGTTCTCCAAGTCATTATCACATAAACAATTTTAACACATACAAATGTGTCCAAACAATCATATAATCTTCCCTAGACTCTACTAGGACTTCTTCCATGCGTATCTTTAATCATCAATTCTGCTTCAACTCGGTTGGTGATGAAAATCTCAGACGATGGGATAACTTCATGGATTATACCAAAAATCTTTCTTTATGCTAATCGAAAGTGTAGTTCTCCCATACTAGACGTATTATTTATTGGATGCATTCTAAAGGTAATATATCACTCTTATGATATCTTCCGATATGTACCATTCAGTATCGTAACCCTTCTCATTTCCTCCATTTAATCAATTCACTACGAGTCTTCACCATGATGTTCTGCACACCAAATCAGTCATTTGGTGTATCGAGACGAGAATATAGATATAGGAAGGTTTAGACGCATATTCCTCCTTATTACTTCGAAAAATTACATGCCAGTTCTAATATTGTAATTAAACGGTTAGAAATCTGAACACATAAAGCTTCCAGATCCGGTCGGCAACAAATCATAGATCCGTTCAAACGATAGCATAAAGCATCACAAATTATTTAGCACATAAAAGCATCTTAGGTGTCTTCCCTAATTAAGCTAGTGTTTGTGTCTATTCAGACGTATTTCCTAAAATATATTAGACACACTCCTCACGATCATAGATTAGCATTCTAAGTTTAAGTATATAGATAAATATTTATTCCTAGTTCGCTTAAACTAATGCTCTGATACTAACTGTGACATCCCCATTTTCACGACCGATTTGTTTATGCTTTCCTTTGAAAACCAGAGTATCTTTTAAAGAAATATGTTGCAAAATTTGTTACCAGAAAAACATGATAAATACTTTATCAAACCATTTCCGAAGAAATGTATTTTATTCATTTTAAAACATTGGGATGTCATCGTCAATACATAAACATAAGCATAAACAGATCTTACATTTATTATCACTAGTGATTTACATCTCTTTAATCTCTCAATGTGTTGTAACTTCATATCGACACTTGTGATACAAATAAACTGAGTGGTGCAGGTTGGGAAACTTGATGAGTACATAGGGTTTTCAACCCATAATAATATAATTATTATGTTTAAACATCGAATAATCAACCCACTTACCCATACTCATTATATTCTTTACTCTTAAGGATCTACCCTAAGAATCGGCTATTCTTCGTTCATTCGTTCCTAAAGATTATCCTAAAGAATAGGCACGAATTCTTCATCATCGTCTCTGATTTAGGATTTGGGTGTTTAAGGTTGGATGTAGTTTCTTGTTTTTGATTGTTAGAAGAGAAGATTAAAGGGAAACTGGTTTCAGCTTTCTAATGCCTTATTTCTTTATCGATTTTAAGGTTTTTAGGAGGGGTGAGTGGAGAAGATGAATATGTTGATTTTGCTATAGTGTTTCTACTATTTGCGTGCGAGAGAGAGAGAAAGAGAGAGTGTGTGTGTGAGAGAGAGAGAGAGAAAGAGAGAGAGAGAGACCTTTTATATATTTAATTATGTTTATTTTTTTTTAAATACGAGAAAACATCATAAATGGTCCCTGTGGTTGTGAAATTACGAAAATACCCTTCAGTTAACGAACAAACTTAACAAAAAGGATCAATCATCAAAAGTTTTGAAAACACAGGGACCATCTATGAGGTTTTTAAACCACGGGGACTAAACTTCAGATTTTAGGTAACCACAGGGACCATTTATGATGTTTTTTCTTTTTTTAATAATATTACACCGTTATTTCTTCCTTTCACATACTTTCATTTATGTTTAAGGGTTATCTCATTTATATCTAATAAACTGTAGACATACCTACTTATTTATATTTGCAATAAACAAAAAGTAAAGGACAAAATGATTGATTTAAATGTGAACGAATTAAAAAACATATACTTTTTATGTTGACTTAAAATGAAATAAGTTACAGTTCAGAAAATATTTTGCTGCTAGAATTGAGGGAAAATTACGATTTTTGCCTCTCATTGTTTCCTTAAAAGAGGTGACATTTATTAGCAATTTTCAAATCCATATTTCAGTTTCTAGGATTTCATTTTAGTTTTCTAGAAATGAAAGTTTTGAACTTGTGATGAGATCTTTATTAACATGCATAAGCTCCTCATAGTTTCCTACTTGTGTTATTTCATATGTTTTTCCCAGCTTATAAGCAGTTTCAGCTTTTGGAAATCAATTAAAGTATCCTAACAATGTTCCAAATAGCAAACCTTACATGAATTACCAGGTTCACCAACCCCATGTTCTCAATATTCTGAAACCAAACTTTTAAGATATTCAGTTTTTAGGACTATGTAACACAACGTTAGTATATGTGTAACATCCCAAAAACACAGTCTGAAAATTTCGTTTAATTTAATGATAAAACCATAGTCAATAAACCTCATATAGAAATCATAAGCAATGTATCTCAAAATATTATAACAAATGTCAAATATATCAAAGTATAAACATCCCAGGCTGAACAAATGGTGTGTGCACTGAAATCATCCCGAGCTCCTCTTTTGAAAACTAAGTACCTGAAACCAAAACTGAAACTGTAAGCACCACTACTAGAAAAACTGCCTTTTACGACGCTCATTGTGCGTCGTAAAAGGCTCAGACGACGCGCAAATGCGCGTCAAAGAAGGCCCTGTCATAAAGAGAGACAACGCGCATTTACGACGCGCAATTACGACACGCGTTTACGACACACAATTACGACACGCGTTTACGACACACAATGCGTATCAAGAAAGGCTCTGTCATAAAGGAAGACGACATGCATTCGCGTGTCTTAACCTTATGACGCGTGTGTTAATGACACGCAATGTGTATCAAGAAAACCCCTGCCAAGAAAGACCATGTCATAAATGAAGATGACACATTTTTGTGTATCATAATTTCAAATTAAATTTGTATTTAATGTCTAGTAATAAAAAACAAAATACCATATACAAAAAAATAAAATCCATTGCATAAAATTTAATGTCATAAAAATAATAGATGAAAGTACATTGCTATTTCTTTTATTTATCGCTATACTATTCGATGAAATTTCAATGTGACATTAAAGTAATCTCCCCAATGTGACATAAGAGACAATTTGATGACATACAACTTGAAAAATGTGGGCATCCGACCTCAAAATTTTCTATCTTTGCAAAAATCTTGTTACGCACTCCCCACGTGCTAATTAACCTACAATTTTCCATAAAACTTACAACTTAAATGAGTATAGGATAAGAAACATCTAATGGAATCACAAAAGAGAAACTTCACCTCCTTATCTTTATCAGTGAGAGTTGGCAGCTCAATACATATTTGGGATACATGCAAGGTGAATAACAAACCAGATAGAGTAGCATAATTCTTTATCAAACAAACAAAATCCTCTCCTTTCACCTAATTTACCTGTGTATTAATAAATCAAAATTTGATAATTTACAAATCATCTGTGGTTATAATTTTTCCTTACCTCCAATTACTTATAAGTTAACAGTTGACTAAAAAAAACAAATGATTATACATTATATAAAGTAGAAAGTTATAAGATTGTATATTTGTGCCTTATAAAAAATTGTTTAAAAAGTTATATAGAAGGAAATGTAGCTTATACATGAACAACAACGACAGAGGGATATGAATCCCAAATTGAAAAATCGAAAGCGATGTGCAATCACCTATTAAATTAAAGTTTATGCGATACAACAAATTTATAAGAAATTAAAGAATAAATGTTTATTATATAAAATAAATATGATATTCATATTATAAATTATACCTGTAATTCAACAGTAGAACCTCCACCACGAGCACAAAGTTCTGCTTGCAAGCATTGTAGTTGTCGGCGCATCTTTAACATTTCACTAGACACTGGATCCCTATTCACCTATTACATTGTTTAAAAAAGTAATGATATATTTGTGTATTATAGCATCTCACTTTAATATTTTTTTTTCTATAATAAGCAAATTAATGAAAGCATGTTGCTACTTCTAGCATATAACTCAAACTTACCACAGGCTTATTCTGTATATTTTGAGTCTTGTTTGCATACTTTAAAGTGTTTAGAGTCTCCTCAACATTTATATCAGCAGGACTAACACAAGTTGAAATTAGGAAAAATTATATGTTTACTTAGTACCAAAGATTTTAAATAATAAACAAAATTATCAGGCAGGTTATTTCCATTTTCCAATAATAAGGATGAGGGCATTTATGTCTTTTGTGTGGGACAAAAACTGCAACTTTTGTCCACTAGATTGTAACAACATTAAGAAAAGTTTAGAAACAAGTAACATAATAAAACATTAATTAGGTGCACACAAAATTAAAAAACCAACCTGATAACATGAATGCCTTCAATGGACTCTACCTTTTTAAGGATTGAAGAAGATCTGCAACTCATAACAATGCAACCATTAGAAGAAGACCACTGTAAAAAGGTAAAAAAGTAGAAGATTAGTAAGAGTAACAATGACATACTTCTGTTGGTTAGGCCCGTATCCAAGTTCACCAGACTGAGCATGGCCCTAGCTTATGCATGTGTTATCTGCCCTCCACCTGAACACAAATATTTCCAATGATGAAAAAGATAAGTTATTATGTTTTAGCAACAAAACAATTAAAATTTATTCAAAGGAAGAAAAAGATGATTTAATATTAGATGTTACTACAAATAAGAACAAAATGAAATCAAATAGGACCATTATTAATTTTAGGGAATCCAAAAAGGTAATTTAATATTAGATGTTATGGGTCAACGCATAACTAAAAAGGCTCTATTTTTGCAAAAACTCAAAAGTGCTTTTTTTCTAAACTCGAGTGGAATAATATCCAAAAGGATCTTGCTTATATTTTGGGAAAAGAAAGAAGGAAATTTAGCAATTATGTTACTGAATATACCTCATTGTCAGTTCCATGTCCAAGTTGACCATACTGCCCATTTGATGATATCTCAGATTTAGTATCTGTCGAGGTGGCTTTTGACTTAATTGCCCCTGAAAATCAATCAAATTAATGTAATTAATAGCAAAAGAATAAAGTAATACAACAAGTCAGGAAAAAGACTAGCAAATAAAGTAATCAAACAAGTCAGGAGAATATCTAATAGACTCAAGAAAACTCAATTACACATATTTCATTATATATCTATCATATCGTGTATGAGATTGAACTTTGAAGAGCGGTATAAACTCACTTATAGAGCGAAGTATTTAAATACATATAATTAAGAATTTATATCACAGAGGGATTGAGTTTCTAAAATAAAAGTCGAGATTTTTTTAGATGATTTACTTTTTGACCAAGTGCAAAAGGGTTATTGATGCAGTATAATATCTAATACACAATTTCTTATTATTTTTTTTCAAATCAAATAACGCATAATGAAAATGAGCTCATACCCGTTGTCTGAAGACTGCCTTTTCCTTTTCCATTTCCATTTCCAACCAATGCTGTTTTAGAATTATCATTAGATTTTGTAGGAGATTCCATTTCTGCAGATTCTTTAGGTGGTGGGGAAGATTCAAAGGACCCACTAGCAGAACACTGCCCGAATTGCTGACCGGGATTTTGCAGATTGGGGTTAAGCTGGTTAAGGGCAGGAGCTCGTTGGAAATAATGAACTTAATTTAATAGAATCCTCTTTTATACTATAAATTAAATTCTTAATTAAGAACATAACATCATATATGAAGAAAAAATTTGACCTTACCTTCATCAATCGAGACAGGGATGGAAGCACGTTGATAGGTGGGTAAATCTATAGATTTTCATCATACAAGTTACAAACAAGTAAATTTTAATCTTAAAAAGCAAGTGCAGGAACAGAAAGTTAAGTTTAGAATCTGACCTGTCTGTTATGGAGCTGTCGGTCAATGTATATCTGTCCCTCAGTAATGTAACCCGTAAGATCCGGGGTGGGATGTGTAATATTTAATGATGACCAAAAAGTTTAAAGAAAGCAGTGAGAAGTCAAAAACAAACAAAGAAACAAGGCTAAAAAGGTCAAAATAATAAGGAATTAGGAATTAGGACCGTCATTGGCAACAAAAATAGCAAAATTTTGGAATTGCTCTACCCCACACACCTTTTCTCACCGGAATGGCAACAGAAATAGCAAAATTTTAAGTACTCTCTTCACCATTCAGCATAAATGTATCATCACCATCAAGCTGAACATCAGCATCACTAATAACATTTGGTTATCTTTCCGGAACCGGACATGGATATCAACTTTAACAGAACTGATGTAAAGAGCTCCAAACTACCTTTAGATTCCTGTAAAAATCTCTCCACCCTTTCAATTTGAATCAATTGAGACTTTTTAGATGCCCATTCAAGAACAATAAGCACTTCAGCCTGTGCTAAATCTTCACTATCAGGAACATGAAAAGCAATGGAACAAAGAAGCACTAATGCAGGAATTTGAACCATTTGTTCACCAAAATACACCAATTCAATCAAATGCCGTGTTCCTCCAGCTGTAATAATTGCTTTTGAATGATCAAGATGAAGGTAGTTTTCTAAGGGAAAGGCTCGAGTTATGATGGATGTCTTGCTTCTTGATTGTAATGTTTTCGGTTTTTTGATTATGATTCGGGTTTAGGTTGCTACGTTTTTGGCCATATTTCATTCCCATGGGTGTTGCAACTACACTGTGCATTCCCATGGTTGTTGCAACTACACTGCCATCCGATGTAACTGTAGGAATGTTTTTAATATAATGAGTTTTTTTTAAATAAGGAAAAAGAAATGAAAGTAGGTTGCAATATTTCATACCGTAAACACAGCTAACAACATCTTAATGTTGTCGGACACTCTGCACCAATCTTCCATCATTAAGGGAAAGGAGCTGAAAGTTGTTTTCCCAATTGCCACATGAAACAAGAAAATTGCCGGATGGCATCTGCATTGTTGTAAAACATTATGCTCCAAGTTCAATATTTTCAGCCAAAGGGCTACCAATTCTACGAGGCGAAACCACATCAGCACCAATCGCAAACTAAGGATCCTGAAGAAAATATATACAAAACCATTTAATAAAAAAATAAGATGCACCAATTATCATATCATCATGAATGAGTGAATGAATGAAACAAACATGTGAGCTAGAAAAGGTGAAGCTCCCACCAGATGCCAATTAGGTGGTCAACCATAGTTTGACTAACATGGTTTGTCCCTGATTCACAAGGACAACACGTGACTCTGATATACCCACATACACGCCTGAAGGATGTGTACTTGTACTAGAAACTATTGAGGATAAAGTAATGGAAGAAGGGGCAAATCGTAGAGGGTGTGCAATTGGGATTGGTGGGCCCCATCGAGGATGTTTCTTCCGGAAGATTTGAATCGGGGTTTGACCGAAATTAGCAATCTGGTCTTCAATGGCTGCCCTTTGTAACTAATCTTCCATTGTTTCCAAGTTAGTAGCTCCTTCGTATGTTAAGTAATAGAAGATATTTGCTGCCTGTTATATTATTATTATAAATCATTAAAATACGCACCAATAACCAAAAACATGTAATGAATTGTTCAAGTAATGTTAATAGTTTTTTTCTAACCTCGACTGCTGGTTTTCCACGTTGTTTGTAACCAAAGATTAAATCGATCCAGTGGTGGACTTTAATGAAACAAGAACTGGAATCAGATACCAACCTTGCCAATTCCCATGAAGGTACACATGACAAGTAAGAAAGGAAGTCTGATTTTGGCAGCAATTGGAGTTAAAACCATTGCAACCGACCACCAGACCAAATCATTGGACTTAATACCTAGTTTTGAATATAAACTATTAGGTGCGCCACAAATTTTGAAGATACATTAGAAATATTGTTGTACCAATTGCGATTTACAAATGATTCAATTTTGCGCCCAAGAAGGGTACAGATGACGTAATTTTGTATAAGAACTCTAGAACTGATACGTACCTTTCTCTTTGATAATTTCTTTTACGATGACTATTGTTTAGGGCTATCAACATCACCGTCATCTCCACTACCACAGTGTAATAAACAAAGCACCATTAAAGGCCCTTCATCATCTTCCGCTGCCATTACTTCCTCGAGTGAAAATTTTGAACTCAACGGGAGAGGAAATGAGTCGCCAATAAGAAATCCGAAATCATAAAATCAGATGGGAAGAAATCTGTGAAAAAAGTTGAAGTCGTTTGAGATACCGATGTAAATCCTTAGAAATCTCAATCGAGAAGAGAATGGAGAGCCTCTTCTTTTTTTTGGCCCTGAATCGTTTCACCACCGGTCGATCACCACGAAAGACCCTCGCACATACTGGGTTGAGAGAAAACAGGAGAAGTGGAAGCTAAAATAAAATAAAACCCTAGACATATTTGTACTCTTCAATCATCGGATCTAGGGCAGAAGTATATGGACGATGGGGAGTAGAGAAGATGTGAAAATAACCCTGAATCGCTAGCAGGCTCTGGAATCGTTAGCTTGTGAAAATTTTGTGAGGCAGTGGATGTGGGTGAGAGGTGGAGACGATGTAGGGTAGATATGAGAGTCATATGGAAATGAATGTAGGAGAAGAAGGCGGGGGTTTTAAAAATTTGGGGATTTCATTTTCCCTCTTAGAGATGCGCGTTTCTTAAAAAAAAAATATAAAACGACATTCACAGAGGACGCACGAGTGCCCTCCGTGTTTTTAACTTTTTTACATGAGACACTAATTTAAGGGCACGCAATAATGGGTGACCTAAATCCTTAAATTTTTTGAATAGATGACACTCTTTTAATGCCACTCTCCTTTACGTAACATAAATCACCGAGTGTCGTGGTTTGCGCGTCGTAAAAGGGTCTTTTTCTTGTAGTGCACGAAGCTTAGTGAGGTCACCCAAACTACCACATACCATACAATAACATATAAACACATATTAGGCCTTGCCCACTGCATCAGACCGAAGTCCAGAAACTTAATCGGACCGAAGTCCGAAACTGACTGGGACCTTGTCCCTTGCATCGGATTGAAGTCCGGAACTAACTGCATCAGACCAAAGTCCGAAACTGACTGGGACCTTGTCACATGCATCGGAACGAAGTCCGGAACTAACTATATCAAACCAAAGTCCGGAAACTAACCGAGCATAACATAGCATAGCATAAACATATCAACTAGTATGAACACATAAACTGCATATTGCATCGGGTCGTGGCCCATAACACATAACACATAAACACCGCCTGAGCCACGAAGGCATCAAACATTCTCACCACTGCATCGGACCGAGGTCCGGAAACTACTACTAATTAAACGGGTTGGCATTGTGGTCGTAGACCCATTCCCACTGGAAGGAAACTCACCTCACACTGCTGAAATCCTGTAGACACAATCCCACATTGTTGAAGTCCCACAGACTCAACCTTAGCTGCTGGATGATAGATTCTCGAACTGTCAACACCAAAATAACACCCAATTAATAATTGGGTTCTAACACATAATTATAAATACATTCTTTGGGTAATTACTACATTACCCCAAGCTTGGCTTATCCAAGCCCAAGGTCCAATCCATAGGCCCAAAGTCAACTAGGGATCAAATCCCAACATATGGCCTAATTTTCCAAATTGGGCCCAAACCTCCACATGGACATCCCTTAAGGCCCAATTGCTCAGTCCGGTCCAACATGTCTCATTCTAAGGGCCCAATATTGTACAACCATCTAGGCCCAGCCTATGGCCCAATTTTCAAAATTAGGCCCAATCCTTCACATGGGCCTTACCTTAGAGCCCACATAATTACTCTAGTCCATTTAATTATTCTTGGATGGCCCAACTCAAAGCCCAAGTGAAATTAGGGTTTCTCATAAAATAATAATTAGGGTTAAGTGTTTCTCACTTAACCCATTAAGGGCTTAACCCACTAAGGACTTAATCCACCAAGGACTTAATCCATTAAGCCCATTATTGCTTAGATTAATTTATACCAATGATTATTATTTAATATTTCACTTATTAAATAATTCCCGTGTGTGTGTCCTGATAATTTCTCAAATATTAATATTTTCTCAATTAGCCCATTAAGGACTTAGTCTATTAAGTCCTTTATTCTACTAAATAAATGACATGAAATAGTTTGGGCTTAATTCACAATCTAATCCCAAAGGCCCAAAAGTGGGTCCAAATAAGTCCAAGGCCCAAATACTCATGATTAGGATTTTCCACCCAAACATGGCCCAATAGGCCCAAAACCAATCTCTAAGCCCATTAGGGTTTGCTAGCGGGACACCACCCACTACCGCCTCGGGTAGTGGTGGTCAATGGTGGCTCACGGCGGCGGCCACCACCCTAAGGTGGTGGTTTTCCATTTCTTTTCATTAATCTTTTGGAAATTACAATTATAATGCTTTATACACACACATTAACTAACTAACACACACACACAAAGACCCTAGTGGTGGCCGGTGGTGGTACAAGGCGGCAGCCACCAACTCACGGTGGTGGCAGTGGTTGATCTTGATCTTTTTCCAGCGGAAAGACACTCAAACAAAATAACACAGCCACATACACTGAAATATTTGCCCGGAATGGAAGCACAGCCACCCACCGGTGGTGTTGGCGGCGACGAAAACTCCGGGGAGGCGGCAACAATGCTAGAAAAGCAGCAGCAACGGCGGTTGTGATGCTAGCCATCACCCAATGGTGGTGGCGGTGGTCTTTCTTGTCCCTCAGCCGAGCAAATGAATAGCAACCACAAAACGGCGGCAACTGCGGTGCTTCCGGTAGCCGTAACGGCAGTTCCGACTCCTCACAAGAAGATACTCACACCGGCATTTCCTTCCAACCACAGTCATACGACGCGTCCCCCTGTGGTTCCATGAGCTCAGCCACCCTCCACGGTGGCAGATAATCCTTCTTGGCGACTTAAGTTGACGACAAAATACACGACGTTCGGCTCCGATTCTCGGCCTCACCACACGTCAGAAATGGAAGCGGTGACATCAGCAAGGCATCTGGGGCTCACATGGCGGCCACAACTTACCAGAAAACGTGCATGGTGGTCGGGATATGGCGATAGGGCGGCAGTGACGGGGTGCCAGTGCCGGAGAATGGAGAAGGAGAGTGGTGGCGACGCTGCAAGTCGAAGAATGGGAAGGGGAATGGCAACCAGTGCTTAGGTGTTGGCGGCTGCAACCTTTTCTTTAGGGTTAGGGTTCCCGTAAGAATATATACTCGGTGCCTCTCTAATTCTTTTCCATAATACTAAGATCGGCCCCTCCTTCCCTCTGTTATCTCAAAATGAGTCCATAATTTACCCATTTAACCCTGACCTCGAAAATCCTTTTCAAATCAAGTCCCATAAATTACCAAACATACGCTCGCTTCTATAATTCTTCTCAAAACAACTTCGTAACTTACTAAACAACTCCCAGTATCAAATTCTTCGCAATTCAGTCCGGGAATTACATTTATTAATTT